TCCATTAAACCAGAAAATGGAGAGGAGATTAATCAAAATAGGATAACCAATTAGCCATGAGTGCTCTCCCAACTATCCAGCAGGTAGTCAACCCTCTTTTACCTCAGAAGTGATCCATTAAGCACCTGCAACCTTGTGGAAAGCGATAGCCATTGAAAAGACAGTTGAAAATACGTAAGCAAAACATCACAGCACGACTGGAGCGACCGGTCGTCAGGAATGGGCGACCGGTCGCCAGAAGTTTTCCCTCCAGACTTTGAATCTGCTTCTAAGCGACCGGTCGCAAATGTCAGGCGACCGGTCGCTCGTGCTTCATGCGACCGGTCGCAAAGAACTGGCGACCGGTCGCTCCTTGGTTTAGCTCCAGACCTCGAATCTGCCAGAAAACGACCGGTCGCAACTTCCCAGCGACCGGTCGCTTTTAGGCAGTTTCAAATTCTCTCTTTGAGCGCCAAAACCTTTGTATCCTTTAGGTGAGCCATTTTTTTCCAACAGCATGACCTATGTCAATGGTTTGACTCTTGCAGTGAGCTCAAATATGTAAGTTAAAAATATTGGCCTGCTTATTTGATAATTCATTTTGACATTATCAATTTTTTCCCGGCTGGAGACATTCTCAACTTGTATCAGCAGCAAGCTCCAAAACTATGTACCAAGAGCAACAGTGAATTTTAACAAGAATGATAAAAATAAAATAAAACAAAAGTTGGCCCAAATTGCTAATAAATCTAGTGTAAGTTATAACATAAAGCCTATCGCCAGTTTGATGTAAGTCACTATGGATTTGTGAGCATTACCAAGTCCTCTATATGAATTCCATAACTCCAGCACAGGTTTTGGACTGTTATGTCAAGGACCATTTGGCAGCGCTTTAATTTAACCAAGTCACAACAAGCCAACCTTCACCTTCAATCTGTACAAGAAATGCAGGCTTTTTCCAGCTCGATCTCTTGCTATCGTCTATATATAATTGCTTTAGTGGTAGACAAACACAGAGCACCTGTACTCCCAAGTTCTTCTTGATCAAAAGATGGAGAACAAAAAGGGTGTGATGTTGCAGATTATATATCTTCTTGGCTTCAGTGTCATGTTTTATTTATCAGTAGCAGTTGCTGCGGAGACAGATGAGGGCAAAAGTAGCATCCAAACTTACATTGTTTGGGTGAAAAGGCCAGTCCAGAACTTGTTTTTTGCAAAATCTCATGAAGATTTAGAGAGCTGGTATCAAACATTTTTGCCGGACACTATTGCAAACTCAAACGAGCTGACAAAGCCAAGAATGGTTCATACATACCGCAATGTGGCCACTGGATTTGCAGCAAAACTGACGCCGGAGGAAGTAAAGGCAATGGAACAGAAAGAAGGGTTTGTGTCTGCTCATCCAGAGAGGATTCTGCCTTTGCACACTACTCATAGTCCTAACTTCTTGGGGTTGCAGCAAGGATTGGGAGTCTGGAAAGGAGCAAATTACGGTAAAGGTGTGATAATTGGAGTTTTGGATACTGGGATCGGACCAGATCATCCTTCATTCAGTGATGAAGGAGTACCGCCTCCAGCTAAATGGAAAGGCAAGTGCGACTTCAATGGAACAGTGTGCAATAACAAGCTTATTGGTGCAAGAAATTTCCAAAGCGGAAAAACTACAGGAGGCCCTCCAGTTGATGATGACGGCCATGGCACCCACGCATCCAGCACAGCTGCAGGGAATTTTGTGGAAGGCGCCAATGCTTTTGGAATGGCCAATGGCACAGCGGCTGGCATGGCACCTTATGCTCATTTGGCAATGTACAAAATCTGTTCTGAGGATGGTTGTACAGAAGGTGACATTGTAGCTGCTCTAGATACTGCTGTTGAAGATGGTGTGGACGTGCTCTCCCTTTCACTTGGTGGTCCTTCATTTCCTTTCTATGAAGATGGAATTGCAGTGGGTGCATTCGGAGCAATTCAAAAAGGAATTTTTGTCAGTTGTTCAGCTGGAAATTCTGGTCCTTCCTATGAGTCTTTATCCAATGAGGCCCCATGGATTCTCACAGTAGGAGCAAGCACCATTGACAGGAGCATAAGAGCAACAGCCTTGCTTGGAGATCATGGAGAATTTGACGGCGTATCTTTGTTCCAGCCTAAAGATTTTAATTCAACATTGTTACCTCTTGTAAAGATTTTAATTCAACATTGTTACCTCTTGTAAAGATTTTAATTCAACATTGTTACCTCTTGTAAAGATTTTAATTCAACATTGTTACCTCTTGTAAAGATTTTAATTCAACATTGTTACCTCTTGTAAAGATTTTAATTCAACATTGTTACCTCTTGTAAAGATTTTAATTCAACATTGTTACCTCTTGTAAAGATTTTAATTCAACATTGTTACCTCTTGTAAAGATTTTAATTCAACATTGTTACCTCTTGTAAAGATTTTAATTCAACATTGTTACCTCTTGTTTATCCTGGCGCAAATGGCAACCCATCATCAGCTTTGTGCAGTCTGGGATCCCTTGAAAATCTTGAAGGTAAATTAGTGGTGTGCGAAGGAGGAAGAGGAAGAGTTGCCAAGGGGGAAGAAGTGAAAAGAGCTGGTGGTGCTGCCTGTTGTGAAAATGGACAAACACTTTCACTCACTCCCCTAATGATCTTGTTGTTGATGGACTTTGTGACACACACAATGA